GACCTGTTGTCTCCCATGGCTAGGTTTTACGGGAAGTGGGCCATCGACCACATCCTAACCTCCGGAGAGGATGGACTAGGATATTGCCAGGGCGCCCAATCCTGACAGGAGAACGACTCGGGTCCTCAGCCAAAGCCTTCGATTAAATGAACACCCGAAAGGCAGCGAGTCTAGCACATGGCCGACTCATGCGGATTGGTGTCCTGGATCTTAGCAGGGAGAAGGGCGAAACCCAACTCCCACCCAGCGGTCGCCACGTGGAGGCGCCCAGGACATGAGACTATGGCGCAGCAGTAGCAGCAGTGGGTAGACCATCTGTCAGGATCTAGCCACCACCGGCCTCAGCGCACCATAGGCTCTCCCGCCCGCCCGCCTTTTGTGGAATAAACTCCTCCAAAGGCGCCTACAGGAAAGGAAGTCTACTATGGATATCAGCGGTAGTGTTGCTCCTGCTGGGAACATAGAGAATCTTGTGGGTGGAATGAAGAACCAACGGACTGGTCTGTGTGAAGCCATTTGTTGATACCCTTCTCGTGACCAAGACAAGAAACCAGACGTTTAGGATACGGGTTGATCACGCAACGTCGACCAAGTAAATATGGGTGAAATCGGCTAGTACCGAAAAAAAGACCTGCTATCTCGTTCAAGCTGAGAGTAACTCCGTTCTGATGCTGTCAGGGTCCTTGGGGCATAAGCAATGGGTCTTTGGAAGCCATCCGGGAATTTGTGCAGTAAAACAGCTCTAAAACGGTAAGGCGAAACATCAGCACTGAGAACAACAGGCTTTTGTGCGTCCTAATGTATAAGAACATTTGCGGATGCCAAGAGCTTAGTGATCGCATTTTCGTGAATGCTGTTTCAATTTTAAGCTTGGTTTTTACGTAAAAGTTGATGAAGTGGATGCAGATGGGTTGTTACCGATGGTATGGAACTAAAAAACTAAGTGACGGCACCCAGGAATAACCGCAGTTCGTTAACGTCTTTGTGTGCTGGCGCATCAAGTAACGCTCTTGTCTTTTAACGGGAATGATCCTTCTCGTGTAAACCGATACCCAATGCACTTCACATTCGGCACAAGGAGTCCATACTTTTCCTTTTTCTAAACCAATCTAGCGTCAGATAATCATTTTAGGACGACATCCAAAGTGTTCGGTGATAATCCGTCCACTAACCAAGATGTCGTCCAATTAGGCACGTGTGTTTGGTGTTTTTCACCAGTGGGTCTATACTACGTGGAAAGATTGCACGAGCTAAGGTTAATCGAAATGGCATTTGTATGCAGCGATATTATCCAACGTGTGTACTAATGGTGTTGCATGTACTTGATTCCTCATCAGGCTCAATTTGGTAGTACGCATGACTCAGATCTAGTTTTATAAAACGCCCGCCACAGGGGACAAAAGCGTAAATATCTTCAATCATCGACATCAGATATCTGTCTAACCGTAATGCCTGGTTAATCGTAACCTTGTAGTTCAACACCGGCACTATAGAAGCTGCCCAGTCCGAATAATGAGCTGGTTCAACTGTACTCTCTAGCCGGAGTCGGCGCAGCTCACTCTCGGCCTTATCACGAAGAGCACTTGGAACAGCATAGGCACTGCTTGTAGTTTCAATACTAGATGCAAAGAGTCTTGTTATATTTTCATCTGAGAAGTGGCACCTTTCGATATTCTTTACAGATGCCCACTCAGTGGGACAAAATTGGCTCTACTATACCTGATAGGATAATTTCAATACAACTGTATGAGCAACAACTACACTTTGTTTGTGTTAACAGCGTCTAACTATGTTTTGTTGAAGAACTTGCTAATCTTCCCAAGCCAAGTGCTTTCAAGACATTGTATCCTTGCTATCTGTCACCCGCAGTAATGCGTATAGAACACGGGAGTCCCAGAAGTATTGTCGAAAAGTCTTTGTCCTCAAAAAGCAACTCTGACGCAGATGTTAGGAGCTATGTAGATGTTTCCTATGATGACCGATTGCAATTCACTTAAAAACCCTTTGGTTTGCATTCTATCTAATGATAGCTTATATAGACCGACGAGTATGTGAATTGGTTGACGTAAGCGATGTCGCCTCCACTACAAAACCGAGGTTTCTTGGCCAGTCAGACGTGATGGGAAATTAGCCATCAACTTGACTTCCTCCATCATCCACATCAATATACAACTGTGTTCGGATACTCTTCGCTGGTAAGGTTACTGAGTTCAGGTTGTATCAATTAGCGAGCGCACATTACTGGAAACTTCGTGTAACTTACACTTTACTGATAGAGCAGCAACGGAAACCGCATTGCCAACCAGCACGACGTTTCGCTTGTTTCTAAAATACTTCTTTTTTCGCCTATAGGTATTCAAGACTTTGTGACCACGTTGGATGAAGCGCGGATTCCTGGTATTATGGCGTAACGTTTTTAAAATTTAGACGGAATGGGGCAACATGATTGACCTTGATAATAGCCCAGAAAAAGCAACAAGTTTCGAAGATTCAGATAAAACGCTAAATTCGCAACTGACGGCACAAAACAGTATTCCAACAAGAACGGTAATGACCGAATTTAAAGTTTCCGCGGATGAATTCCTGGATGAAGTTACTGACCGCAGACACTTACTACATTCTGTTTTCAGGATTTTTGTTGTACCATTTTACCATTTATTCTAATTGCATTTAGCATTCTTCCCCACGTTTTGAAACAGACCCCACTCTTCCATATATCTCGTTGCGGTTTAGCAATAAGACTTTCTAGTGACATAGAACGTGTCTCCTTATCGAGAAATCTGAGTCGCTGGATTCGATCATGTTAGGATCGCAGCCTTTCTAGCGCGTACCTCTGCTCTTATCTATCCTTTCGTCCTATTTTGTCAACTGAGCTCTTTAGTTGGTAACGGATGTTCCTCCTCATTTACTTCATTATTGGTTGACTTTTCTTTCAGTTCCTACAAGAAAATAATCTGATGGATTACAGCCTTCTTATTGGTATCCATGAAGTTGGCTTACCATCTGAGCCCGTTGAGTCCATAGATGACATCGGTGGTCCTGCTCCCATTGATCAAAATGGCCCTCCTGAGGATCGGATTATCTCCGCTGGTGATGGGCTTGGTTCAATTTCTTCGCACTGGCACCTCCGTAGGGTGTCTGCCAGTCGGCGTAGCATTGTAGATCAGGGAGTACTCTATGGTAGTCAGCTCGGTGGCAATCTCAGCACCGGGGATGATGAAGAGGACGACGGTGGGATTCTCTCTGACCCGGGCATTTCCACCGCGTTTCCAGGTAAAGTTACTTTGTTTTTCCCTGCTTCATATCTCCTACCTTTGATACATGATCCTCCCTTCCTCAGGTGCGGTCGCCATCGAAAACGTGCAGCCGCATGTGCCCGACCACATGCATATTCTACTGGGGCTCTGAAGTCTCTCTGTTTTGTGAGCCGTGTTCAGTTTAAGGATCGCGCTTAGGTCCCGCAAGAAAACTAACGTTTATTCTGCATTGTTAATGGCCTTACTATTTCTATTAGTACGAACACTTCCTAACGAATGCATTAGTGCACCCTAAACGGATCAAATTCTAGCCATTTTCCAGAAATCAAGGATAATACTCGCATTCATTGATCAAAAGAATGTTCTTGCACAATTCAACACTATTACTGGTAAGTAAAGAATGGAAGAGAACAGAGAAGCTTCAAGAAGGTCGCTACGAACAAATAACTACCGGTACTCTGCGCTGTGTAATCATCTCTGATCTGACGGCCATTACGCTGTATTAACCATGTTGTCTTTTTGATCGGCCAATCGAGGAGGACAGGTCTTCTCGAACAGCCATTTAGAGCTGCCCGGGGCTACTTTTTTGTCGTACACCACTCTTGACAAGGAAGTGGACTAAAAGCTTGCCGTACGCTCTCACTCTGCTTGAAGTATGGAGGTATGGAGCCCGAAGTATAGCAACATACTTTTCGGGAACTCTCGGTCTCGGCAGCTCGGTCTACTAAGTCGAATGCAGCCCGAATCTCCAGAAGGGCGACAATGGTGGGTCTCCTTTAGGGATGGCTATGTTCAAGTAGCGGACAAAGTGTGTACATTTGATGCATACATCCCCGACCGAGGTGAAAACCAGCCTGCTCTTCCCGGTGGTGTGTTTAATCCGTTGATGCTAGCCTGCGGAGTATGATGGATGCTGGCATTGTGGCGGCAACGGACGTCGGACTGATCCCTCTGTGATTGGAACATGAAGTACTAACGCCTTTTTTTAAGATTTAGACAATTATTTCCTCTCCCCAAGAAGAAAGCACCACTTCATGTCACAGCTTCAGGAATAGGATGTTACCTGATTGACAACTGTCGTGCCACTATCAGCACCGTTAAAGATTAGTTGAAGGTGAGGAACACACGCTGCGTTGATCGAACGTAACTAGCCTTTATGTCTGTCGATTTGATTCGTTAGGTTGCACAACGGTACAAGAGGGTTGCTCGGACGGCTGCATTGTAAACTCTGCCCTTCAGATCGAGTGTGATGTCGCGGCAGCGCCACAGAGGGCGCATATTGGCAAAAGCGTCTCCAGCTTTTGCTATACGTGGTCCCATCCTCTATTCCACTGTTACTGATATAGCTGCCTATATACTTGAATTTTTCAACGACTTCTAACTGATTGCCCCAAAGGGTCAGCACAAGGGTGGATCCTCGCCTATCTTGGAGAAGGACTTTGAATTTCGAGGGTGCAAAACAGCCCGAAACGACTGACAACTAGTACTATTTTCTCTAGTACTGCTTGGCATGTTTGTAAGATGTCACAGATGAATGCAATGTCGTCGGCTTGCTCTGAATCATGAATTCAATTACCTGGGAGCAACTCTACACCTTGTAGGTCGTGTCGAGTGAACGCAGTTTCCGTAACGAAGTTAAAAGGAGATGTGACAGCGGACATTCTTGTCTTACATCGCTGGAGATATTGAAAGGCGGCGACAACCTGCCGTAATCCCTCACTCTGCCTGACCTAGGCGCGTAAAGCGCTATCATTATGTTTAATATTTTTCGGGTACACCTTTTTTTAGTAGGCAGTCCCAATGGGCACATCGATCCGATGTATGGAAGACGCCGTTGGTGTCTAGAAACCCGACTACGGTGGATTCCAGTAAACGTGGTCGTGTTCCAACAATTGACATAATCTGAAGCTGTGACCAATACAGCCGCGAATTCGACGAAATCCGGCTTGCTCCTCTCGAATCTGGCTTCCATGGGTGCCAGTCAACCTGTGAAGGGTGTCATAGGTATGTAACTTGGCGATGGAGATCAGACTGATTCCTTTATGATTGCCGCATTCCGAACGTGAGCTTTCTTTGGAAATTGGGGGTAAACTGGAACGACTGCAGTCGGTTGGGACAGTTTCCTGCTCTCAAAGCTTCACTAGTAAGTTGTACACGTCATCCACAAGAGCAGGTTTCCTGAATTCGATGAGGGCTGGAGCAAATCTATCTGTTCCTGAGACCTTGTTCACTTTTAGTAGTCTGATCTAACGCTTAACTTGTCCATGTGAGGGCGGTTCCAAAGGTACGTCCCAAGGAGAAGCGCCATCAATGGTCAGCAGAGATGTTGGCTCTGGCTGATTAAACTGCACCGAGCAGTTTGACAAGCTGTCGTCGCATATAGTCTAGTTACCACCAAGTATCCTGCTCGTTTCGCCTCTCGGAAGGAAAATTTATAATTGTTGTCAAAGATTTTAATACACATTCATGAGGTCTGGCTTCGCTATTTGGCAAGTATCCATGCGCTGGCAGCGCCTCTGCATTCATCCACCGAAGCGAACTCTGAGGTCGGCACATACGAGTGGGGAGGAGAATCCACACTTGTGCTCCAACTTGAGCGACAGTTCTAACCACAGCTTCTCCAGCGGTAACTGATTCCTATGTGATCGATTTGCGCCTTGGCTGCTCCGAGACTTGTGGGTGCCATATCACCCTTCGGCAGGTGCTCTATCGGAATCTATTCCTCACGGTGGTAACCGCTCACCGTTATCGTTACGGGAGCCTACATCGTGTTGGCCGCCCAGATATAGCTCGTCAGTGCACTGTTTTCCAAATTGTGCGTCCAGATCCCCAGCCAGCGCTATGGCATCCTTACTTCCTTGTAACGAAGTTCTTTCGGTTGATGATAAGAGTCATCTTTCATCGAGTCATTGCTACGGTTGGTAGGGGCGTAGGCCGCAATGACGAACGAACAGCGTTTGTCTGCTCACGACTCCGAAGTTTTGAATGAACCAGCCAATCTTACAACCCATCTGCGGCTGTTGATTTGGATCCAGTATTCTAGGGCAGCTTCAGCCTGGCGACTCAGAGCAATGCACACACCGGCTTGACCGCTATTTGAAACTGCGTCCTCTCCAGTGAGAAAGTGCCGCCATTGTCGCTTGTGAGGGGTCGCAGCATAAGCACCAGCTCGAATCTTGCAGGTGGGTTTACGATAAACAAGAGATATCAATCTATAGGGCCTCTATAGTTCGGGCAAGTGCTGAGGGTTGGACAGTCTGCAATAAAGTGCGCAAATTGAGGCATGCCAGTCTCAGCGAGGATCGGGGGCTCCAAAGAGAAACGGATGAACTGACTTTGTCTGCCTGGTTAAATTTGGACTTGGACTTGTCGATTGAACCAGCGGGAAGCCGAAAGATGTCGATCTGGATACGGATGAAAAAGCACATGATGGAGATTAAGAAGACGAGAAGGCCTGAGCGGTGGCATCCAAACCAATGTCCATCCTGCTCGATGCAGCAGATAAGGCTCCTTTGATTATCCTCTGCGACAGCTGATCAGTTCATTGCATTGTATTATCTTGGCGGGATATTGTCAGTTTGCCCAGGCCTAGACAGGAGAAAGATTGGAGTTCTCAACCAAATCTTTTGGCTCAAATACCTGGCCGCAAGGCATCGGGTTTGGCAGTGGGCTATAAAGATTCTGTTTTAAGAATTAGTCACCCTCACTTCAATCCTCAACCTGGAGGGCTAGAAGACTGAGTTTGTTTGAGGTCTTACCATTGACCAATTTGGTATGAGTGGCTCTGAAGGGGCAGAAAGCACCACCTAACCTGGCTCAGTGGATCGTTGAGGCATGCAAACTATCGCACCACATGGCGCGTTTTTTTGCGATGGTTTAGAGTGCAAGATCGATGTCTTATACCATTCAGGCGCCGTCCGCCATTGTGTTATTGGAAGACTACCCTTCCCCAAACCCATTAGGAAGACACCCCATTGCGCTCATAAATTGTATACTGTGTAGATAGTCGTAATTTCACCTACCATTTATCTGACGTCGTACTCACCAAATTCACTTGCAGGTCATCACCTGCCTTGTGCAATTTACTTTGGTCTGAAAATCTCACCAGCCGCACTACCTTAAGAATATCCTTTCAATCATTAAACACTTCCGATTCCTCGGTTTATACACAACCCACCAACTCTTAGCACCACTGGCTGTTTCGCTGGTTCATGAGTGCAAAATAGTGGATGAGGCTCACTGCGTTGAATTTGGGGTTGAATAAACCGAGACTTATTCGCTGAAAAAGCCGGAGTGCTACCTTGCTTGGTCAGGTTTTTACCAAATACCGTACTTCGTCTTAACCGTTCGACTTCTGTCGCAGCGTGAAAGTCTTCGTTTGTGGAGTGATATTGTGGTCTATGACCCACTTTCGCATTGCAAACATTGTCCAAGCGGACGACTACACACATTATTTTTGGTGTGTGCCTCACTATGCGTCACTAACTGTTGGACTTTATTCTTTATGTCTCCACTGTCTTTCTTATTTGATGCCTTTTTATTAACCTATCTGATTCCCCAGCTGAACTGAGTCGATCGATGCATCACCTTTGTTACACCTCTTCACTTGCCTTGTGCAAATTTTCGTTAACCCGTACTTGTTTAATAATTGTGCCGTTTTTCAAATTCTTATTGCTTTTTTTGCATGCATCCGTTCTTCTCCTTCTTGTTGGGTTATTCCTCCAGAGGAATCGTTCTCACTCTGTTCGCTCTACATCTTTTTCACGGATTTTTACGTATTCCGCCTTTTTTGTTTATGCTTTTTCTTTGATGCGCCCTTTCTGGTACTATTTTCTTTTTATCGTTACCAAGTTTTTTGTTGATACTATTACACACGTTCGACCACTTTCTCTCATCATTAACATCAAGTGTCACTTGTTCATTAGGTAACAATACGCCACCGGATAGTCCAACCGAGGTTACTCTGGTCGACCAAGCCTTCTCCGGTGAACTGCATCCCCACATGGAGTGCTATGGCATCAAAAGTTCTTCCGGTGCGTTCACTTCACGGGGATTAGTTGAATCACTTTACTCCGAATGATAATCTTGGTTTCTAATGTATTCACTTCTAATTTTCCCTTATATATCCATCGATTACGGCTACCATTAACATACGTTGGATTTGGCTACTATAGAGTACCTTCTTTAGTACTTCCTCGTACCATTATTTCCGGCGAACCGGCGTTTTTGTGTCCTGCGTATGGTCACTATTTGTTATATTGCGTGCTCATTTTACAGAATGTTCTGCGCAATTAGATGGCTCACAATATCGACTACTCGAATTCACTCCCTTTTTACACTTGTGATGCACCTATTTCCGTACAGTGGGCTCTGTCCTCATGCTCTCTCCATTTCCCTCCAGTGGTCCCCAGCGATATTTCCAGACCTCTGTGTGAATGCTGTTCACAGCATATCCATGATTATGGGTCCCGTCTAAAGAAGTAAACATGTGAGCTCTTCTTTAGCACAATATAGTATTCTGGTTTCATCATCGACAAAGATGACCGCCAACCAGATCCGGTAGACATCGAGCCAATCATAAAAATGCCTTTACCGACCTTTCTGTAGTTTGAAATTACGTAGACATCTAAAAATGATGTTCTAATCCCTGAAACAACTTTGGGGGCAAAAGCCATATGCGTTCCCAGCAATTTGCAAATTCAACACCATGCGATAACAGTCGAATGAGAGTGTCGGTTAGTTTATCTCACGACTTCTTACTACTCTCCCTGACTATGTCTCTGATCAGATTCCACCGACCCAATTTGAAGAAGCATTGCATTAACTGTTGATGTTCTCGACGATAAAGCACGAAAACGGCTGCTTTCAGAAAACGGAACGCTCTTGATTTGGGTGAATGCTTGTGATCTAATGCGACAGCGTGACAACCTGGTTCAGGAACTAGCTGCATTTCCCTCCTCCATTCACTTGACCCCACATGACGTGGATAAAGCCTCCCAGACTAGCCGGGGCAACACGTCACCACAACCTGTGCAATGCAGAGAATTTTCTTGCTACCACTGCGGTGGACGTCACTCGTCACAGATGGACTTGTCAGCAACACACTTCGTTGTGCAGACTATGTAGTACAAATACCGCATATTCAGAAGGTATGCCTTTCTAAACGGAAATCATTTGTATCTGAAGAACATCA